ACCCCCTAACCCCCCCCCCCCTACCCCCCTTCCTTCACGCCCAGGTCCAACTGGAGCATGGACCGGGAGCCCAAATAGGGATGTAGGCTCTATAAAGATATGACACATGGACCTAACTCAACCCCAATAACTTAGGAGGAGGATTTCCTAAGTTCAAACTCCCAAACAATGTGGGACTCTAACCCACTCCAACATTTATAATGCCTCATGTATGTAATGTACATACATACAGATGAATGAGTTTGATCTTGAGTTCTCGTGGCTGGCAGTGCTTGCTTTGGCCTTGCAATGCTGGCATTGGCAACAATGCATAGCATCTATTACTGGGTGTTGGGGTTGATGTTTGGCGTGCATTGATGGATTACTAAATTAAATACATTTCAAGTCTTAAATCATGAGTTATACAATCTTAATTTCTTAAGCTGTCTTATTGCAAATGACTGTAATAATTAAGCATGATTCAACCGTAAACATGTAGATATCATCACAATCTTGAAACATTTATCAAGGACCTAAAGGTAAATTTACCTTCAGCGTCCATAACTTTATAAACTCCTGCTGCTGGATATAGGGATCTCCAATAGCAGTTAACACTTCAAGCTCATGTTTGGAGAAGTATCTTCTAGCTAAAGTCAATATGTTGTGCTTCGTTGTTCTTTCTTTTTCCTCCACGTCTACACCGATCTATAAATAAAAGAAGTGATTTACCACTTACCTGAATATACACACAAACTGACTTGAGGACAAGAATGTTTACAGGAGAATTTATTGTCACACCACAGGCTATCAGAGACGATGTATGTGTGATGTTGAAATGCAACGCGGGAGGCTCCCAATTGTAACTGCATGGCCAATCTACCTATTGACATACTCATATAACGTTAATTGTACCCAACTATAACAAACCAGAAGAAAAACACGAAAAAACCAACGGAAATACATTGAATGACGAACCTCTGGTTTCCCGTGAACATTATTCCTAAACATGATGGATTTGGGTGTCACTGAAGAATTTATCTGATCTAGCAAAAATCAATGCCTTCATGAGCCATCAAACATTCAAACTCTCTTACGCTATTATGATAACTAATGATAGAGCAAATTATTATACAGAACTGGAAATTTCACTCGAACGTTGATAACTTATAACCTGATAGATTTCAGAATCTGACACTGAAATGAAACAATTGGAAAAACATCATTTACTTTACAATTTCTTTGAATTCAACATTAGCAGCTAAAAAACACATTTGCATTTATACGTCAATACTCAGTAATCACAAAAAATAAATCGTAGAGATTAGAACAGCTGAATAGTTACAATTGTGGAAGACGGACTGAATCTCTAACCCAACCAAATGATACATCCTTTAACCAGATATTTTAATGGCACCAAGATGAACTAAAATGCACAACGTTGTTCACTCTCCAATCATCTATATTTTGATCCGAATACTTCAAAATGACCGCATTATTTGCCGGGTGTTTACACCAACCCAATGAATACATGACATATGTCTTAACACATACTGCACTTGTCGGGGTACACTGGTATGTTGTTGTTGTACACATACACTCTATCACTAAACCATAGCTAATTAGTAAACATTTTCATCTTAATTTATGACGTAACCCTGATAAATTAGCATGATTTGGGTAAACACCATGTAGCGATAAGTTTTTACATTATTTGCCTACATCGCTAATAAAGAGACAACTACAACTACAACATACCTAGTGTAATCCCACAAGTGGGGTCCGATGAGGGTGATAGACCCTCGGCTCAAGGAAAAAGAAATAGCGGAAGTAGATATCGCTAATAAAGAGAACATAACTAAAACAACTGCAGACAGTAAGTACAGAGAGTAATGCACATAACCTTCTAACTAGTCATACTAATTAGTTATCTCTTCTTGCCAATAATCAATTCTTCTTAAACAACAACATGCCAAAGCAAATCCAATTCAACACTAAAAACTCAACTATAATATCTTACATCTAGCAATTGTAGTTCTGACGAGTGCACGAGCAAGCAGAGCACTTTTCCTCAGCTCATCTCTTCGAAAACTCAAAACTTTTTCAATCTCACTTGGGGATAGAATCTCCATATATTTGTTCATAAGGGATTCACCCTTTACCTCACTGGGTATCACATACCAAAGATGTATCTCCCTAAGCATAGTGCATTAAACAAAAGAATTAGTAACATAGAGAGTTAACGGTCAAAAACACACCTGAAATATCACGATTTTTCAAGTTTCATACATTAACTATTAGGTCTCAGTTTCCTAGCTAAACTATCACCAAATATTTATCGAAACACCTAAACTATCTGTTGTTCCCTTTCTTACCTGAAAAACATCACCATCACAGGAAAAAGAAATAACTGATAATTAGGTGTTCGAAAAATATTTGGTGGTGATAGTTTAGGTATAAAACTCAAAAAATCCGTATACTTTAGGCATGTCTTTAACCCTTCACTCAAAAAAAAAACTCAAAATCCATTCTTTGCAGAACAATTAAACATTTCTCTTTATATCAATCTTACAGCAGAAAACTTAACATAGAGAAAATTAGAGAATTGAACCTTACTTTGGAGATGGGAGTGAAATAGGACTTAAAGGGGGCAAAGAACTGAACAATTTCCCATCAATACAACATTGAATCCTCATTCTTGAAAACCCACAAAGCATTTAAATTTTCTGCAAAACAAAAAAAAGTCTTTATGAATAAAAATCTACAGATATACTGATTTAGCAATTTAAAAGAGCTCAAAAATGAAAACCCATACATACAAAGTCAAATTAATCAAAAAGTTTCAAGAATTTGAGGGATTTTGGAATCCACCCCTTTCAGTTATAGTGACGAAATAGAAGAAAAATTGGTTTTTCTTCAAGAATGTGAACCGGGTTTTATTTTGGGAATGAATTGTATTGATTGAAAATATTTTTGCTTTTTAAAAAAAAACAAAAATTGGAATTAGTATTTTGGTCAGCTTGGGTGCACCTCGACAATACCTACTACGTCCAATACATGTAATAGATAACTTTATTCATCGGAAAGGCTTGAAAATATCACCTAGTAGTTGCTTGATTGAGATTTGAACCTAATGATAGGATTTAAAAAAAAATAAAAAAAATCAAAGAGTTAATGTAAAAAAACACACTTAAATTATCATTGTTTCACGAGTTTTATGTTTTAACTATCCATTCTCTTTTTCTACCTAAATTATCACTCACTTAGTATTTGAACACACTTAAATTATCATTGTTTCGCGAGCTTTATGTTTCAACTATCCATTATTCTCTTTTTTTCTACCTAAATTATCACTCGCTTAGTATTTGAACACACCTAGATGCTGAGTTGATTCTAATATCGACAATAGTTGTGTGTAGGACAACTCAACATCGAGATATGTTTTAATACAAAGAGAGTAATAATTAAGGTATGACACTCGGCACACGCGAGTGAATAGGTGATAGTTTATGTATGGTTTTTTACCATTATTATATTTGCTTGGATATTTTTTAGAAGAAAAAATAAATTTCGAAAAATAATGCTACTTTATCAACAACAAAAAAAAAATCAAGCAACCAAATTTGGATTAATTTTATATACTATATTATGATTTTAAACTCACTCAATTGAAAAAATCTAATGTGTAATGCAAATTATTTTTATTTTATTTTTCACTTGGTGTTCAATATTCGCTTGAAAGCCATATAGTCCAGGTTTGTACCGAATAACATGATAGCAACTTCATTTCTTGGATTCAAACCCAAAAGCGACTTCAGTTCGACGCTGGTTAAGGATGGAGGAGTGTATGTAGAAAGCACTAGTGGTCACTTGTTTATGTCAAAATGAAGAAAATCATATTGAAATTGGAAACCACAACAATATTCATTCTACCAAAAAAATAACACATAAATTACATTCATCCTGCTAGTTTCCCCAGCCAAACATGCCTAGACGGAAAGGTGACAGAATTCCTGTTTGAACTACTAAGAAAGTAACCAATATCCAAGCACAAACATAACTGGATAATACATTGTCCTTTTTTCAAACATAAATCACAATCATTTAACTTCTTGATGAGGTAGCAACAATGGCTCGTTGAGGCGAGAGACGTGTTCATCGCCATGCTTCCACCCTTTCTGTTGTCGAATTCAACCTATCGATGATTCTGACCCCCTTGCCTTTCTCTAAATTTCCAGCTACATGACCTGTTGGCCATTCAATCATTTTCTTTGATCCTTTCAGACTAGAACTACTCGAATGCACGCTTTTAGTCCTTCGGATTTTTGGCTGACTTCTTCCACTTGTTGAATTGATGTTACCAGATCCAAGCTCATCCTTTGTGCTGTCTGGCAGGTTTGAGATTTCACTGAGACAATCAACGAACGCATCTTCCTGAAGAACGTTCTCTATGGTACACGGTAATCCATGGGATTTATTCTCAACTATTATCTCTCTGAGGGTAGAATTAGCAGCGCCACTTGAGGGTCGTCCTTTGGATATAAGGATATCCTCCTCGATCTCGTTAGACTTCTGAACTATTGGCTGTGAAGCACTATGATGTCCATTTTCATCGAATGGTTCCAATTCTGGTGCAGGACCAGCTTCTACAACAGTTTCTTCTCGGTCTTTCAAAGTCCGGAGAATTAGAGTTTTGAGGAAGTTCATAACTTGAACAGCATACATCAAAGCAGTCAACGGATCTGCCATCTGCAGGCAAAGAAATTCACCATTTGTTAATCAAGAAAACACTCGCTGCATTCTAATGATTTTGAACTATTGTATTAGTTTCATTGATACGTTTAGGTTGCTGTCTATGAAATGGAAATTGCACTCTTAATATAGGAAATATCACAACCACAACGACTTTCCTAACAAGTTGTAACCCCCCAAACGCACACCCGAAACTAAGAAAACGAAAAGAGACGCTATAGGAGCAACAATATGATTCCTTCATGTTTCTTTTAAATTTGCATGAAAGTTTTGACTTACCTGTGTCATATTTGGAGCAAACACCATAGCAATATTACGTGCATTCATCTTGTTAAAACTTTCCAGTTGAGCAACATCAGCCATCAAGTTAATAGCCCAATCTAATAGAGCAGCTTCAGTTGGAGGAAGAAGTCTCACGAGCTGCACACACTCTTCTTCCGATTGAGAACGCATAATTTCCTCTGGCGAGAGAGAATCCAAAACTCCCGTTGGTAACTCTCTGAACCAAGCCTATAAAAGTATCATCACTTTACGTCAATTACCACATACAGACGAAATGAAAAATTAAAACCATAAAATGCATAAGGAAAACAAAAATCGATGTCAACAGAACCACCTCCTACCGCTGTCCAAATAGGGAGAGGAGAGAGAACTCTTTGAACTTGATCAGAACACAACAATGTACCTTCTTCATCAATGAAGATGATAAGAAATTTTAATTCAAGTTCAAATGCAATTTAAAGGAAGTATACTTCCTCCAAACTGAGACATTTCGCCTCAAAAGCTGATATGGAAACATATTGATCACTTGCCATCCAGGTAAATAATCTCCTCTCAACAATTACCTAAAAATGTCAAATGAAATCTATGTCGCCCTAACTCTTCAAAAGTGTCGTCAAGTGTGTGTTAGATCTTCCAAAAGTAGTGCATTTTCGGAGGATCCGATACGGGACCGGCAGCATTTTTGGAGAGTCTGAGCAACATAGAATGAAACATATTCTGAGAGCAAGGTGCGGAATATCACCTTTATAAGACCTGCTAGGCAATGGACGTCAATGTTATCTGGAATAATTCCCCTATTTAGCTGCTCCCTGACAAATTCTTCTTGGCCATTTTCGGCATTGATCCTGAAGATCCCTTCAGCCTGCAAGTGAATATAACTAATTTTCATCATTGAAAAGTTATACTTACGAAACATCTAGAGATCACACATATCAGTGATAGATGCCTGTCAAACATTTTATTGATCAACATGAGGGAGATTAAAGAGTTGGTGAATCCACACCTGCAAGCCACCTTGAACGTATAAGCGCCCTTGCATCATCAGAAGGATTGTGGGGACGCTATTTCCTCGAGAGTCAAATGAAAGCTGCATGCAATCTGTCGAAACTCCAAAGACTCTTGTACTGCAAAAAAACAACACCAATATCAATTAGAAGAGCGTGACACTTTTTAACTAGGCAACAATCTGAACAAGTCGTTCTACACCATATAAAAGCTCGTAAAAAGGATAGGATCAAAAGTTACTAGAATACAAAAGAAATTACACAAAAGTAATGTGCCATCACAAAACATGTATGATATATGATATGGCTTTTCAGTACTAGTGTCGGTATCAACTTAACCATATGAAACAGAAGTATTGGAATGAAACAGGCACATCTGAAGTTGAAAGATATAGAGGATTCATATCGCCTTACCCCAATAGTTTGGGACTGTAACATCGTTATTATAGTAACAATTATGAAGCAACAGCTTGTTCGCCGAACAAAGAGAACCAACTTTTTCTTTTCTTTTTTTCAGTTTTCATTTTCTTTTACTATGTTGAAGGATGACATATTCCCACAGTAGTATGAGAAGATGTAGACTCGTGGACATATGAAACTAAAAGGTAAAATTAAAAGGCCTATACTTCATTTTCTTCAAATTTTGATCATCTATCCCGGGATTTCCAAAGCAACTACCATTTCAAAATGTTCAAAGAAATTTCTTAATTTCAAGAGTAATTATACTAAGCTTTCACTATGTTTCTCTGCACCCTTTTCTGAACCATTTTCCCACACACATATATTGCCAACACGTAATAAATTTCTACGTTACTGAATAAAAAGTATGCTTTTAAATTCCCCAACCAAATAAAAATAGTCAATTTTTGGTAAGTGTAGTCATCATGAAGAAAGGAAAATCTGAACTTGAAGCAAAAGAACATGTTACTTTCGATCTAATTAAAGTCCAGTAAGGAAGACAAGGACACACCAATTACTCATCAATTCGCAGATATATTAATCAAATATTTATGCATTCCACTGCAGATATATTAATCAAATATTTATGCATTCCACTGCATAAATTATTAGCTTTCTCCGAATAATTTAAACCACAATTATATGTTCTTCTCCTTATTTCATAAGCATTTGCTGGACAAGGCTGTCAAAAGCCTAAACAACTAACAAGATAACTAAAAGAAGCCAACAGCCCTTTTTCAGCTCACCAGAAAGAGAAAAGAACAAAAAGATAAAACTTGAATAATAATAACAATAATAATGAATTATGGAATTTCGCAAAATCATATTCTACTACTCCCTCCGACCAAAAATATATAGTTGTTATGGTTTGCTTCTCGAGATTCAAACTACATGAACTATAACCAATATTTTAAGATGTATCTCTTCGCCATATTGATATGAGAAAAGTTGCAACTTATAAGTATAGGTTTCAAATATCAAATTAAACTAATTCAGTGTAGGTCCAAAGATTGATCAAACTGACCCTCGAGAAGCGAAACATGACAACTAGCTTGGGACATTAAATGTCATCAGAACACAACAATACTAGAAAAACGCATACAAGGGAAAAACCAAAAGAATAATAATAGTAATAAAGTAACCCCAAGCACATATCTTAAGTCATGAATGATTTAGAACAAACAACAACAACTACGTCTCAATTCCAATCAAGTTAGAGTCGACTATATGAATCTCTATTTTAGAGCTCATTTCATATCATCATCATACTAAATAAAATAAAAGTGAATGATTTATAGCAAAACCCCACTAATAACAAAAAATGCAGAAAAAAGTACTTTAAAAGAATAAAAAAGATCAAACCTGGCACTGGGAGGTCTTCTAGGTACTTCAGGTTCAAACTCAACAGGAAGTCCAAGAAATCCATTAAACCTATCAAAAGTGACATGAGCAACATGTCTGACATTACTAGGCCAACTAATCTCCATTGATGAATTAGCAGAACTAGAACTAGAACTAGAACTAAAACCAGAACAAGAAGAAGAAAGCAGCTCTTCAACACCAACACCACTAATAATATCAAAATTGCTCTTACAAGCAACCAAAGATTTCCTAAAACCAGTTAAACAAAGTGTTAACAAAGACAGCTGATCTCCCCCTTCTTCTCTTTCTCTCCTTTTTCTCTCTCTTTTCCTACCAGAAATACCAACTCCTCTTACTTGTACCTCAGTATTATTTCCCCCTCTGTATACATCTACAACAGAATACAAATTGGGTCCACTAATTAGACTTTCTTGGTGAGACCCATCATTATCTCTAGCTACTAAACATGGTAGTATACTAATGGAGCTTGAAGATGAAGGTAACTCATGTTGGGGTTGTATAATTTCAGTCATTTTCAACAAACCCACAATAAAAAAGATTGGATTTTTTTTGTGGGTTTTAAATTTTTAATGGTACAACAATTCAAGAAAAGCTCCTACCTTATATTTTCAGTCATTTTCAAGAAACCCACAATAAAAAAGATTGGATTTTTTTGGTAGAACAAATCAAGAAAAGCTCCTATCTTATAATTTCAATCATTTTCAAGAAACCCACAAAAAAAAATCCTTTTTTTTATTTAAAGATTGGATTTTTATGTAAAGATTGGATTTTTTTTGGTGGGTTTTAATTGTAAAACAAGAAGCAACAAAAGTTTGGTGGACACTTTAAAAGAAAATTTGAGTAAACCCCTCTTTATGATAGTTTGGTAGATTAGTAGAAATGGGGTTTGAGTAGAGTTGGATTCAAGCAAAGGTTGGTTTTTGGAAGGTGAGATATTAATATCATCATCACTTTCAATACATTCTCATTTTCTTCTCCCTATTTTATGGAAGCACTTCAATTCTTTATATGAAAAACTCTATAGGGGAGTAGGGAGAATTTAGTAGAGTTTGAGGAGAAAAAAGAGAGAGAAACTATACTATAGAAAGAAGGGGATTAGTTTATAATAGAGCTCTTGTTTTGGAATCAAAAACTTTAAAAAAAAATTCTGGTTTTTTAGTGTTATAGAGAAGCAAAAGGGGAATAGAAGAAGATTAGCTTAGTTGGATTTGGCTCCTCTACCATGGCACTTTCTAGATGTTTTCCTCTTTATAAAATGTGTTTAGGATATTAAATGATATGATAATAAATAAGAATTATGGTGGAGTAGCAAATAAATCTTTATTTTTTAGTTCGAAGTTTTGAATTTGAATTTAGTTATATAGTCACTTTTATTAGAAGACGTTTACAAAAAAAATTGTAGAATAGAGTACTAAATAAGAGTCGTAGTAGTAAATAATCCTATATTGTCAGTCAAAAGTCTGAATATGATCATGGAGCCACTTTTGTTGGAAGGTGTTTATACTAATTGATATGATAATAAATAAGAATTGCGATGAAATAGTAAGTAAATTTTTATTTTTAGTCAAAAACCTCAAATTCGAGTATGGTCACGAAGTCATTTTTATTAGGAGATGTTTATAAATTTTGATAGAATACTAATTGATATGATAACAAATAAAAGTCGCGATATAGTAGTAAGTAATCTTATATTTTTTGTCAAAAATTTTGAATTTGAATCTGGTAATAGAGCCATTTTTTGTTAGAAGATGTTTACACTAATTGATATGATCGTAAATAAAAGTTAAGTGGAGTAGTAAATAGATAGTTTTTTTTAGTTAGAAACCTTGAATTTGAATTTGGTCATGGAGTTACTTTTATTAGAAGATGTTTATAAATTTTCATATGATACTAATTGATATGATAATAAATAAGAGTCGTGATGGAATAATAAGTAATTCTATATTTTTAGTCAAAAATCTTAAATTGAATTTGGTCATGAAACCACTTTTGTTAGAAGGTTTTTAAACTAATTGATATGATAATAAATAAGAGTTGCGATAAAATAGTAAATAATTCTTTGTTTTTAGTTTAATACCTTTGAATTCAAATTTGGTCATGGAGTCACTTTTATCATGAGGTGTTTATAAAAAAAATTAGGATATTAATTGATACAATAATAAATAAGAGTCGTGATAGAATAGTAAGTGATTCTTTAATTTCAGTCAAAAATCTCAAATTTAAATCTGGTATATGAATCACTTTTGTTAGAAGATATTTATAAATTTCTACAAGATACTAATTGATATAATAATAGATAAAAGTCATTATGAAATAGTAAGTAATTTTTTATTTTTAGTCAGTAATTTCGAATCGAATTTAAATCTGATCATAGTGACTCTTTTGTCATAAGTAGTTTATAAAATTTACGTAGGATATTATTCGATCTAATAGTAAATAAGAGTTGTATTGAAGTAGTAAATAATATTTTATTTTAATAAAAAATATTGCATTCAAATTTATCATGAAGTCATTTTTGTTAGAAGATGTTTATAAATTTCTATGAGATACTAATTGATATAATAATAACAAAGAGTCTTAAGAAATAAGCGGTTTTTTGTTTTTGGTCAAAATTCTCAAAGTCAAATTTGGTCATAGAGTCATTTTTGTTAGAAAATATTTATAAATTTATATAAGATACTAATTGATAATAATAAATAAGAATTCGGATGAAGTAGTGGGTAATTCTTTATTTTTAGACAAAAAATCTTGAATTCAAATATGATAATAGATTCATTTTTGTTATAAAATATTTTACTTCCAGTGTAAAAGTATTTGCAAATTCAAAATACATTGAGCATCCATATTAGAATTAAATATTTGATGGACAATAAATTTAAAATATAATATATATTTTCCATTTTCTAATACCCCCTCTTTCCAATTAATGTGAAGGGGTTTGGAGTATGGAAATTAAAATATTTAATTGATTGTGAACTTAAGTATAGCTTTTCTAAATATTTTAACATAAAATAAAAAATGAAAATCATATGAAAGTTACTCTTCAATCCGTCCCAAAATACTTAGTACTCTTTAACTTCTTGAGATTTCAACTACATGAACTTTAATCATCAATTTATGATATATATTTCACTATATTAATATGAAAAAATTACAATTTAAATTATTGTTTTTCATAATATTGAATATCTAAATTTTAATTTTAAAATATAATTCATTTTAGTTTTAAACATTAGACAAATTGATTCTTTAGAAGCAAACCGTAACAAATTATATTATTAATATATTTCATTTTTAATTTTGAAAATTAGTCGAAATTGACTGTCTAGAAGAAAAACGTAACAAACCATATTACCAATACAATTCATCTTAGTTAACTATCTAGAAGCAAATGTAACAAATTGTAATACCAAAATAAGTTATTTTAACTTCAAAATTTTAGTCAAATCAACTCACTAAAACCAAAACTTGACTAATCACATGACTTGCATTGTTTAATTAAAGGGACTCAGAGTATAATGATGAAGAATTAATATTCCTAATCCAATAATTATATGACCTAATCATGTAAAGATCTTATCTACTCTTTAACACTTAATTTATTTCTTTTGCAGGTCATATTAATATCTTTAGTTGAATTATTAATTGTTTATTTATTATTTTGGTATAAATGAAACCTTTATTTTAATGTACTAATGACAACTTGTATTGTGTAGGAAGGTACCTGGTTCTGTTAAAGTAGTTGGAGATCCAAGGAAGAATAATATTTTAATGTCCTAACACATGAGCCTGGTCCAAATGGCGGAATCAAAATTTTCACTTACAAAATTTAAAATATATAAAAAAAAGTTAAGAAAAATTAATATATATA